TGTTGTAGATTAAAAAAATTAAATAAAACGAATGAAAAACGCATAAAAATCCATTTCTAAATTAACAAATATTATTTTTTTGTATACCCATTTGATCTCCACCATTTGGAATATATTTATAACATTACACTCGAGAGATATATTTAACTAAGAAAATGAAAAATCGTATTTTTTAGATTTACAGATCTTATAACAAAAAAAATGAATCGGTGCCAATATTATTTTTCAGCACAGCATACAAAGTGTTTTATAAAAATGTATGCCAATGTTTCGGAGGGTATATCTAATTATAAGACTAATAAAAGAAAAATATTATCATGGTTTTTGCATTTATTTTAGTTTTTAGATATGAACTCTCATGAACTATTGACATACAATTATTAAACACATCTTGTATATATGTTTTATATATATATATATAAATATATATTGTTCGTGTGTCTCTAATCGCGTTGTTTTTAAACGCCAATCATTGTAAAAGAGCTTCTGTGTTTAGCTTCCAGAATACGTTGCAAAATGTAACGCATCATGTGTCTCTCGAAGAATACAAGAATTTTTCGAATGGTTCGCGCTACTTAATAATTATGGCGCCAATTGATTATGCGGTACAAATCTGCCTTCTGTTACAGTATATAGTTGAAATGAAAAAAAAATCATTTTATCGTTGCATGATTGAGAGAGAGAGAATGAGAGGGAGAGAGAAAGAGAGAGAAAAAAAAGAGAGAGAGAGCGATAGAACGATATTTAAAAACAGAATTACAAGAGAATCGAGTTAGGAGTGTTTGACACATATAAAAATACATACGAAGAAAACGTGGCTATTTAAAATGATGAAAGTGAAGTAAATAAAAAAAAAAAAATGAATCACATGAGAGATTGATTTTTCGGCTATACGAATTTCTTTCCGAATCCTAAGTTTTGTATTATAAAAATCATCAAGAAGAAGAAGATACAAAATCACTCCGAATAAATGGAATTCATTGAAAATGTTTTATACAACTTCTTCTGTCATACTTCTCGACGCTTATTTTAAATGTTACTTTAAATACAATCACATTATGTATATATATATATGCATATATATATATATATATCATTTCTTAAATTAAATAAAATAAAGTTTTATATATCACGACCTAAATCGCGTTTTTTAGGTTTGTGTAGTGATCGTTGCTACAAGATTCGATATTATACAAATTTGTTTATATTTTTATCAATATGTTCTTTTTTTTTTTTTTTTTAAATTTTAAAAAAAAAAAAAAGAGTAATGAACGTGAGAGAGGGAGAGATAAA